GGGGGGGGAAGAAGTAATGTGTGCTCAGGTCATTGAAATAAATCCCATTTCTCTTCTGTCATGTTTAGACTTTCTCCCCAAAACAAACCTTCATAACAATAGTGAATGGAGGTGTGTCCTCACGTCAAAATCATTCTGGTAACCCATCTTGAAAATATTCACTTTTTCATTCAATAGGCCGCACTTGAGGAATGTAAACAGCTTGGTGTCATCCAACAAGTCATGGGATTCTTGGGTACATGTTTGTGCATGTAACTAAATACAGATGAGAAAGGAATGGATATGCTTGCAAGAAGGTCGTCTCTAACACAATATTCTCTGTGTTTGCTTCATACCCAAAGCCCTGAACAAACTCCGGAGAGGAATTTTGTGGTCTCATGTCAGCGTGAAGAGAATTCGCTAAAGGAATCAGTGCCTTGCTGACAACTGGGTATTCATAAACAGAGGAACCAGTCTGCAGCCACGACACGGACTCCACTTTCTGCTGATAATATTTATTGAAGGAAACATCCTCATCAAAGAGAAAGACACTTACTTGCTCTCTGATAATTGTCAGTTCAGAAACAATATTCTTGACACTGCTGTCTCGATCTTTCTTATCCTTGCCAAACGCTGGGTTATGTAGATTGACTTCTTTCATGGCCAAAAGATTTTGGCCACTACGCTTTCTAACCTAGAATAAGCAAGGCAGAGTCCAAGGAAGGAAGAGAGAACGGGGAGAGGGCAGAAAGAGGAGGGAGGAAAAAAAGATGAATTAACAAGGGCACATGATTAATTAGGCCATCTGAATAAGTCACAGGATCTTCCAAATTCGAGCTGTGTTTAGCACCAAGCCCTGATTTTAAAATTTAGCATCTCCTAGCAAGACTACAATATACAACAGAATTTTACCAGGTAAATAAAATTAAAAAAACAAACAAACAAACCACCAACAAACACTGGTGTGCATTTAGAGAAGACTTTCGCAATGTAGAACATGTGATTCTGAGAACATTGTGTGAGAGACTAAAGCAGATTCGCCTTGAGAGAAGTGTAGCCTCAGTGCTCCTTAGAGGGAAGGAGAGTGAGATTCATTTCACATACTTTGACCATGTTTTCAGGAGGGGCCTGTCCTTGGAAAGGAATGTCATGATTGGATAAGTGGAGGGTCAGTGAAGAGAGACAGACCCTCAAAGGGGATGGATTGACACAATGAATGCAACAACGGGCTTGAATGGACACAGGTTGTAAGGGTGGAACCAGGATCAGGTGAAGTTCAGATCTGTTGGTCATAGGATCCACTATGAATCAAATAGATTCTATGGCACCTCGCAACAAAATCAACAAAGCCTTTCGTTTTTCAAAAGGTCAGGAACTGGTTTCTAGAAGTGAGAGCTAATACATCATCAGTATAACTCTTTGTTGAACAGAAATATCCCATTCTGATTTTTATATCTATTTCTCGGGCTTTGTCTGACATAGTTTGGGCATGTTGCCAGGAGGGACAGGTCCTTGGAGAGGGACGTCATGCTTGGGAGGGTGGAGGGACAGTGTGTAAGAGAGCAAGACCCTCAACGAGATGGATTGATTTGGTGACTGGGGTGATCAGGATGGGTGTGTCGGAGGCAGTGGGATTGGCACAGGATAAAGCAGGGTTTAGGGCTGTTGTGCACAGGGTCGCTATGAGTCGCAAACGACTTGGCACATAACAACAACAACAACATTTGTATATAAGTGGATTTCTATTTTTAAATGACTAGGACTTTAATCTATCAATATGTGAGGCAACTTAAAAGGTTGACAACTGCTGGTGGGCAATTCAATACCCAGCATGATGCTCCCCAGGGCTCGTTCACCTTGTAAACACAGCCAAAAGCCCCACTTCCAAGGTGATCCAGAATCGCGTAGTTGCCTATGTACTTTGAGGGCGCTTTATTCTGATTAATGCTTTCGATGTTTTCTGCAATTTGCTTCAGCTCATCCTCCTAAGCAAAAAAAAAAAATATCAGAAATGAGTAGTAGCCTTAGTAAGAGTCCCTCCTGGACACGTAACAACAGCCAGCCTGCCAGAATGTTTGCAGCGGACAACTCACCACCAACTGATTCAGCTTGGACACCAGCTCTTCGTAGGCACTGATATCGCGCACATAATGTCCTATATCGATGAAGATCTCAAACAAGTCCGTGGGGAAAAGTCTACAGGGGAGGGGAGGAAACACACACACCCCTTATTCGTAACGCAGGGACTGCAAACTGGTGGTCATCATGCACTTTATAAACCCAACACACGCACGGAACTGCACGAAACAAATTTAACATTCTGACATCGTCAAGAAAGTAGGGAAATTTGTATTTGAATTTTACAAATAAGCTAGTAGAAAAATTTTTGAAAATCTTTTTAAAAAAGAAAGTAGAGAAATTATAGTCTCTAACTTATGGAACCAAAATATAGTGGAGTGGCCATTTCTGAGGGGTAGGAAAAACCACGTGGAGAAGCGTAGGCGTCATTTCCAAAGCTATGCATCAATTCAAGGGCCTTTTTACAATACTCAGGTCCATCTAAGTGTCTGAATGAAACCACAAAGAATCAAGAAATTTTTAAGTCCACTATGATCACTTAATTAGGGTCTGGAAATGAAAGGTTATAATTAGTAACTACATTGCTACTTTCCTTTCACTTAATTCAAGGATTGTTTGAAAATAAAGTTGCTGATGTTGTTACATCCTGTCGCGTCAGAACTGGCTCATAGCTGGCCCTCCAGTGGGTTTTCAGAGGGAGGAGCAGCTGGGAGACTTGAACCGTACGCTTTTGGGTTGGCAGTGCAACTTCTTACCACTTAAACCACCAGTGCAGCCTGTCTGAAAAGGAAGTAATGATATAACACTCTCTAAGTGCACTTTCTAAGCAAAAGGCTAACATCTACTTTATTTCCATTTTGCTTTATCAGTAATTTTCTAGTAAGACGCTGGCTCTGATTCCGGTTGGCTCATCCCAGTAAATGGTGTGAAGCCCAGGGCTGTGGGCCACTAGGAATTACTTCCTGAGACGTTGAGGTTTCTCTCACACCCACCAGCATAGCCCGACCCAGGGGCCTCCAACGTCCACTGAGCCCGGTTAAAGGCGCTCACAACAAATATTTTTGCTTTCTGCTTATTGAAAGGACATGATTAGATGAACAGCTTTGGAGTGCGTTCTTGATAGTACAGAGCCAAGCGTGTGTTTTGATGTCATTCGTTTAAAACAGTAATGCTTGAAACAAAACGTTTATAGTAGCCACACGTAATTAAGAGAAGTGATTCCGATAAGGACGTCTGGTGGCCTAATTGCAAGGATTCGTGTTGCCAACTGAAAGACAGGCTGTTCAAATCCACCGGCTTCTCCTTGGGAGAAAGATGAGGAATCTCCTCTCATGCAATTGATGGCCTCTGAAAACCCACTGGAGGGTGAGCTATGAATCCTTTTTGGCTGTACTGCACACAAAACAACATATTGATCCATCCTAATGTTCATTTTAAATCAGGATAGCCCAGTTGTGGGTGCTTAGGAATCTAAACGCCTGTGTTTTGCCTCCTGATTCAGACTTCTCTTACTTTTTGCCTTTCAAGTGGACAAGCAAACGCAGGGGCCCTAAGAGTCTGTTGTCACTTCAATCTGCACGTCTGTACCTTTTAAACAGTGGCCTGTTTCTTTCCATACTGAAGAGGAATCTCAAGGCTCTGAAAGCGTAACACTAGAAAGAAAGAAAAAGAAAAAAGACATTTGATTCTCATATGGTAGGTCAATAAAAGAAAACCATTTCAGGACAGAATTCTCAGATTTTTTTTTTCTGAGTGACTGGACTATGTTGGAACTGGGGCTTGTAACAAAAAACCAGCAACAAACTCCACCAGCTGGGCTTGCGCCTGTATTTAAGGAGCGTTTGTGTTGTGGTTCGTCAGGGATTTTGGCCTTGTTCCACTCAATACTTGTCATTAATTCTCTTCTAGAAAGTACAAAATGAGCACAGGGACAAGGAATAAAAACTTGTCGACACTGAGAAAAGCAAACGTGCACACATTTCCAGGAGCTCAAAGTTTATTTTGTCCCTGGCCTGCTGTGTGTGCCTCAATATTTATATGGTTTCCGTGAGAAAATAAACACAAGAAATGATGGCGTATAAAAATAGCCCCAGGCGCTCTGGACTCCAACTTGACAAATTGGTCTCTTGGGTAAAGAGTCTTAAGCATTCCCCAAATAGAACAATTGACAGCAACTCCCTAGGAACATTCAGAAAGAGGCCTGTGATACTTTAACTAAGAAAAAATAAACATGTGACATTCTGCAGCTCTGAGGAGAGAAGAGAAGAGAAGAGAAAGAGGAGAGGACAGGAGAGGAGAGGAGGAGGAGGAGGAAGAGAAGGAAAGAAAAAAGAAGTGCACCACCAGCCTGCCTTTGTACCTGGACAAGTCCTCACCTCCTGGGTGATGGGAGCCTGCAGATTTAGAATCTGACATCATTCCATAAACACGGTGATCAGCATATACAAGGCTTACAAACCAAATTGCCCGGAGAGGCCAGGCAGATTGCAAAGTGATGTGAAGTGGCCCGTGATAAACTAGGAGGGACTGTGAGAAACGGAGAACGTGCATGCTCCTTAAAGTCATTTCCATTTTTAAAAGCATTCTACCGGGATGTCCAAACATAAAATAGAATTTCCAAATCTCAAAGACTCCTGATTTCCTAGAGATAAAAATGCTGACAGAATCCCTGGCTGGCACTCATCTTAAACCCTAAGCCTGTAATAGCCCTTAGGTCTTCTGAAAACCAAATACTTGTCTAGCTTAACTGGTACACCAAGTTCAACATTATGGTTTTTTAAAAATTATGTATATGGGTTCAAACTGCCCCTACCCATATACTTAAGCATTGCAACTCATGGCTTGAATTTGTCCTTCAGTTCTTTCAGCTTAAGGAATTCTGAGAGAGTTCAGCCCTTTCAATTTTTTTTATCTTAACTCCTTTCATATTTCATTATAATATTTTACCTTGTCTTCTTGAGCTGCCCTTTGACATTTTCTATTCAGCTCCTTAACTTCTTGATTTCTTTCATTTACTTTGGTTTCTTGGTGCTCTAATGCAATATTCAGTGTCTCTTCTGACATCCATTTTAGTCCCTTCTTCCTTGTTTGTTATGACTT